CATGTGCATGTCCAGCCTATCTTTGAACACCCTCACCAATGGGGCCTTAACAACCTCTTGTGGAAGCCCATTGCATACCCTCGGGGTCCTGACTATCAGGAAGTGCTTCCTGGCATCCAAATGGAACCTTGGCTCCCTGAGCTTTGCTCCATTGGAGCGCGTCCTGCCTTCCTCTGCAGGGGAGAACAGGTCTCTACCCATCTCCATGTGACATCACCTCACATACCTGTATGTCGCCAACAGATCCCCTCTGAGTTGCCTCTTCTCTAGGCTGAAGAGACCCAGTTCCCTCAGTCTTACCCCATCCCCTGCAAACCAGCCACCAACCTTGTGGCCCTACACTGCACTGACTCTAACCTGGCTATATCCTTCCTGTAATGAGGGGCCCAAAACTGAGCACAATACTCCAGTTGCTGGTGCACCAGAGTTGTATAGAGTGGCAGTAATACCTCTCTTGATCTAGAAGCCACACTTCTGGCTATGCTACCAAGGGTGGCGTTCGCCCTCTTGACCACCGCATCACACTGCTGACTCATGTTTAGCCTGCAGTTGACACCCCAAGGTCCCTTTCACAAGTGCTGCTCTCCAGAAACAGGAGTATTCAACAAATGCCTTATGTAGGAAAGCCCTTCAAGAATTGCCACTAAGCTGTCTTTTGAAGATTGCCAAAGTTAATTGTTAGGGATCTATTAGGCACTTGGTTTAACAAAGTACTTGTTTAACTGTTGGTGCCCATCTCACAGAGATGTCTCTGAGACCTGCTAATGGGAGATCGTAAGGTATTCCAACAGAACTGGTAGCAGTAGAAAAGGGTCATCTTGTTAAAGACTGAGCAGTAATGGCAGAGAGTTCCTGAGGTCCTGAGATATAAGTAATGAAGGAGCAGTTTCCTCAGTGGTGGCGGCCATTGCAGAAAGAGGAAATTTTCTATATGTCAACATAGTTTTTTGTGTGGTATTTTAATGCACCTATGCCCTTCATATTAGAAACCTCTATGGTGTGGGAACTAGGAAAAATAAAAACCATGGTAAATGGTAAATATGCCAATTGTGGGATTCATTTTAGAATGTCTACATCTTAAACTGGAACAGACCAGTGACATTCTCTGAAGAGAACAGGAGGTACCTGTTCATCTCTACTTACCATTTGCATTAGCGATGGGCACTTGCTCTCCTTCTTTGTGAACTGCACAGTGAGCCCAGATACAGGCTATTGTAGCAGCATATAAAGTAAATAAATAATCACCCAAAACTGTTCAGAATTTTTGAATATTTGACTAGAACACTTCAAAATCCCCAGGAAAGGCACCTGCCCTACCTTTCCTCCACTTAGTGGCAGCCTCTTCTCTCTGCTGCCCCAGACACATCTACCCTTTGGGAAGGGAAGATGGTGGCACTTCCCTTCATCAATGCTTCAAGTCACATTTTAGTCTTATGGGTGCTTGAGAGCTCACTATAAATCTTGGGATTCCTGGCAGGAAAACAAGTTCTGAAGATTGATGAAGCCAGCTACCACAATATTACTTTATGGCCCAAGCTAAGATTTTTTGCCAAGTGAAAAGGAGAATAGAGGATAAGAAGTGGTGTTCCAAAGGTGCAAGCTGAATCAATGTATGGCCAGGTCAGAAAAGACCATGCCTGCTTTGATCCTGTTAACAAGAATTCAAGCATGGGTACTTGCATAGCTGGTCACTCATGTACTGAACTGTTGATCCATCCTTATGTACAATCACTGTAAAATACACATATAAAGCAAGGTTGGGCAACATGTGACCTTCCAGATGTTGGTCGACTTCAGCTCTCAGCAACACCATCCAGCATGGTCAATAGTTAAAAGCTGTGGTCCAATAAGGTCTAAAGGTCCACAGGCAGACAATCTAGACTAAAAGGCTCCAATAGGCTTACAAGCTTTGAAATGTATAGAAGCACTTGAGGTTATATGGAGATTTGCTAAAAAAAAATATTTGCTCCAGCAAAGGTGATTGTGAAGAGGTAGAGGGGCTCATCCATTTCCCTTGGCATCCAGCAGATGGGGTCGATGGTGATGGTGCATGGCCAGGAGCATGCTCTTGGGCAGAACAAGGCATGGGACTTCAATTATCAGGACACACAGCTGCATGGGATTATTGGCTGGGGCAGGTGTAGCTGTGTTGGGTAGAATGGCAGTTGAAACAAGGGAATAAAGAAGGAGGCCATGCCAGAAAGAAGAGGGTACAAGAGAAGAAGAATGAGAGAGAAGTGGAGAAGGAAGGAAGAAAAAGTTGGAAAAGGAGGTTTTGGGTGAGGAAGCCTGGAACTGGCCGGCTTTGCTTGTTGGAGTCCCAAGGCACCAATAGACTGACAGAAATAGCAAGGGGAAAACCCACACATGGGAGGTACAGTTTCCTGCTGCACCAGTTGTGATGCTCTCTGTACCTTAGGCCTAGGGAGGAGGAAGGGTTCAGACCAGGGCAGGGATTAGGTGCTTTGGGAAGCACAGCGGCAACAGGAAACTGTGAGCTGCAACAAAGGAACCTGATGAGCAAGCTTACTTTCTTCATGAGTCTCCTATGGAGGTTAGGGAACAGAGTGCCTTCAATGTGCCCCTTCCTCCTGATCATGTTACAGTGATATTTATATACAAAGGGATTCCTGTGAGGGGTTGGAGCTGATGAGGACAGTGGCAAGCAGACTGAATATGAAACAGGAAATCCCACATCATTTCCTTCTGCCATGGACTCTGTTGCTAGACTCTAATCTGATATGCAGGAGTAATAATATTGCCCTAACTTACAGAGTTGCTGGAAGGATTACAAGATAGTAAGAGTGAATCTCTTTTAAAAACACTATGTATGCTATATTATCTATTGACTTCAGCTACAACACAACAATTGGGTGAGACAGAAATGTAATCAATAAATAGACAGCTTTTATTATTTCTTACTGTGATTCTGGTGTCCAGTTCAGGGAAAACAGAATATTGTGAGAGAATTGATCCTTGATTCCAGCATTTGGTTACAGGGATGCTTACATGCTCAACAGACTGTCATCTTATGTGTATAAGCACACAAGCAATTAGCTATGACATCACCAAACTACCTCTTTAAAGGGCCACTGAATACTGGAATGCACCCAACTCTACAATTAGCGATCAGTCATATGCTGAGTATGAGGATATCTGCTGGAACTACAGCAAATATGTTGTTATTTCTCTAATGGAAAAGGTCTTGTATATTGATTCTGGAAATGTTTCAGAAGTCCTTAATTAAGTCAATGCAGAATCTCAGAGAGAGAGAGCGCGCGAGAGAGCGCATTTTATTTAATTGTAAAGTAAAATAATTATCCCTCATTTTGTTCCTTTCTCAAAACAGTCTCTCTTGGGTCAAATTCACTTGCTGCAGCCTCAAAACAGTCTCTCTTGGGTCAAATTCACTTGCTGTAATCTGCACACCACCAGATCCTCTCATTTATCCTTCAGTTAGTCAAGAATATTCTTAATTTAATAAGAATATTGTTATTCTTATTCAGGTTAAAAAAGTAGCCTTCCTTCTGTCAATGTAGAAACTCTGAGGCTGGAACCTCTAGAAGTAGTAACATCTAGAACTGATGGCTAGAACTGAAAGTCCTATATTGTTGCACAGTTCTTGTTCATTTATGTGAGCATCTTCTCCAAGCTTGGAGTCAAAAATTCCTTGTTAACAACATGAATGCAAATTGACCATTGTTTCTTTCAGGAGGCATATCTCAATATTCTTTGTTATTTCTGATGAACAGAACATTTTCCGCTCTCCATCTTCTATAACTCAGGGCCAATTCACAACTATACATGATGATTTGAAGGTAACAAATACAGAATAATTCAATAATTCAGTGGAATTGAACCTCTGAACCTCTGCATACACTGACTTTAGGCATTCCAAACAGGACTCACCAAGTTCTCTCAGCTGTGTGATATGTCAAATATGCATATGGTTTTGAGTGCTCCTGACAAGCAGATAACCGCTATGCTTGTGCTTGATACTGGAGGCTAAAAATCAACATGAACTTCAGCTGCCAATCAGAGAATGCCCACATCTGAGCTATTAGCTGAAATCCTAGGTATTTTCACTGTTTTTCAAGACTGAGATCATGCTGTGCCATCATGATTCACTTTTGAAGTCTCTGCTTCAGAAACATCTCCAGGCATGTTTCTCAGTTAATCTAGAGTAGGCTGGGCAAAGATACAGTTGAAATGCAACTCCCATCAGACCTAACCAGCATAGCTAGTGGTGAAGCATGATAGGAACTGCAGTCCAACAACACCTGGAAGTCCAAAGCTGCCCATGCCTGATCTGGAGTTATATCTGCACATATGTGGTGTATAAATTGGCACAAAAAATAGAAAACAGCACAATTACTAATTATATTTACAATGGATCCAAATTCATTGGGCTAGCAGAATATAGGTGCAGTCTACATTTTAATTGAGCCTTGCATTGGATATGTAAAATAAAAATAATATCAGTGTACCTCAACAAAATGTAATATGCTTTCAAGATAAAGGACTATTCAAAGGGAAAAATCCTACCAGATACTATATTTACAGTTGGGCTTTAATTTCAGTTATAATCAATCCATGTAAGCTATCTAGGGAAACAGAGCAGGGGCAGGGAGAAAGAGGTATCTGCAAAGTGAAAGCCTGACACAGCTACTGTAACAGTATGAGCAGTGAATACTCCAGCAAGAAAACTGTTCATGGCTCATCAGGTTCTCACACATTGCTGAAACGTTATTCCAGTGGAAGACTTCTTTAGTTATACCACAGGGATCCATGACTAAAAATGCTAAAGTTTGGCCTCTAGTGATAAGCATGGTGGAAGGTACAAAAACCGATGTATGTACATAATAAAAAGCACATAGAAAATGAAATTTGAAAAACATATGAGAAAATATGAGAAAATAAGATAGACAAAGTACAAGCAAACCACAAACAGAAACAGGGGTGGGATCTATAAATCCCTGTTTACAAATTTTTAAAATTACCTTGTTTGTTGTTCATTAAATCTACCAACTTTTCTCCTCCATTTCCAAAATCATTTGTTTCATATTCCAGCTCTGTTTCAGTATCGCTGCTACTGCTAGCAGAGTAAGTGCATGCTCTCAGTGCCTTGTCCTGTGCAAAGCAACAAGAAAGAGAAAGCCATCAATCAGATGAAAATATTTCACTGAACACAAAGCATCTGGAATGTAGCATAACAGGCAAGCCATTTTGTCTCTTTCAGTCTGACCTATTTATTTAGCTGCCTCAATTTGCTACTGATTATGTAATTAAATGTCAAAAATCTCTGAAAATACATTTCATCATCCAGCTGATATTGCCCAGGCACAATCAAGTAGTAATCCCTATTCTTAAGGAATCAAGTCTGAGTTTCTGACTTGACCATAGATTCCGCTCAAGCTTATACTGTAACGAAGTTTTTGAGCAGAAGGGACCCATGAAAAGTGCCACTACAGGAAATCAGATGGGCACACCTACCTGCTGAACAAGCTGCTATTACAGCATTTTCCCCCAAATCTGAGGAAAAAAAGGCTAGGGGAGTACAGGGGCAGGTACAAGTGAATATTAATGGGAGTAATGCAGAGTTCTGAAGAAGCTGCTTAAATCCAGCTGAGCAAGAAACACCCCAGAAGTGACTTTTAGTGATGAATAAGGGCAAATCTGCCTTGTTATATCCTGTTCTAACAAGAAGATTTGGCTAAACAATCTGGTTCAAAGTCTTCACACCAACACAACATGGTTGTAGCTGTCATGGGTCAGAAAGTTCTCACATGCTCAGCACTAACAGCAACTTTCAAGGGTTACTGCCTTTGTAAGGGTCCAATGTCACACATGCAGCTGCCTGAGTATTGGAATGAAGGGAATTGCAAAACTTCCATACTATATTATGACATTGCCACTTTGGCTGAAAGCATAGACCACAGCTTAGACTGAGAAGACAGAACATTATGCTTCCTCTTCTGGTTTTATTCAGAGTTAGCTGATATGACTAAACAGAAGTGGGAACCTGAAAAGGGGGGAGCATCCAAAGCTCCCCCTAGGCTGGTGGGGTCCACCGCTAGTGCATTGGAAAGCTAGTGGATCTGGCAGGAATCAGAAAATAACTGATATGCTTATTTCCAGAACAGGACAGGTCAGCAAAATTCACAGAAGGGAGAATCTCTGAGCTGTCGTACTTTGGAAATACACATTGCTGTTCTTTTCCATTGTTTCTGTGAGACGTACTATCTCCTGTTATGCTTGCGGTGGGTCCAGCTAGCAAAACAGAAATGAAACACAGTGTCAGTAGCCTAGTTCTCCCCTTCTCCCCTCTTGCTTCAAAACAACAGACAGCTTTCTGCAAAACAGTTCATGACTGGGACTTCACAGCTAATAGGCAACTGAAAGACTGGTCTCTGTTCATGGATAGGGTGATTTGTTGAACCCAAACTGGAAACTACTTCCAATTGTTGGGCTCCACCCATCTGGATGGGTCCCTCTGGAGAAGTGCTAATCACTGAGATCAATGCAAACCTTCGAACGGGATAGCTTTTCTATCCTGACGCGACTTCATGGGGTCAGGGACCAGACAGGACAATGGCTCACCCTCTTCTCTTTTCTCCCCTCTTGCCTCTTCCCTATCCTGTCTGTTTCCATGGTTTGTCTGAGAATGTGAGCCTGGCAACTTTGCAGTGGCCTCACCCTCCTCTACACCATCAATTCCCACACCACCACCTCCCTGTCTTCACGCTCCTCATCAGAAGAGTCCATGCAGCCATGACCTCAGAAAGCCCACCAAGAATAACTGCCCAGCGAACCCCCTACATACAGCATTGGTAATAGATACTGCTGATATTTTGATCTTAATTAAAGGCTCTAGAGTCCATGGTTCCAATTTTACTCTATTTTTTTACTAGAACAAAACACCTGATTGTAATCTAGTTCTTTTATTTCAAGTAAGAATGCCCATCTCTCTAAGATATGCCACACCTTCAGGATAAAACAAGATGTAATACAATAGACAAGTGGAACATTCTTGCTTTTTCTCTACTGCTGCCATAGGGGACTCTGAGTATGATTTGAGTAGTATCTGTGGTGTGCTGCCTTTGTAGGCTATTTTCCCAAGGAAAAAAATCAGTCTTTTTTTTAATTCTGTAGGACAACAGATTCTGTTTTTATAAACTTTTTCCCTTGCTGGGAAGAAAATAGCTTTGGGGGAGATAATTTTGATTGGGAAAATCAATCCATGGTAAAAGAAAGGCACCCTCACTATGTTTACCATTTTCTGATCAAACACAGAGCTTCCAACAGTTGCAGTAAGAGGGGGAAAAACATTGGGAGATGCTGGAACTATTAAATAAATCAACACATATTCAGAAACCAAAGGGGCATGAGATTCTAAAGTGTTTGGTGAGGGGGAGGGTGGAAGGAAAGCCTTATTTTTTAAGGTGACAGATGACTTGTCATTATGTCAAATTTTGCCCTGTAAAGTGTGAGATCTATAGTAATAATTGTGAGTTCTATAGTAATAATTGTGAGATATATATTAACATGTGAGATATTTAATAATAACAAAAATATAAAAACTTTCATTTATTTGTAAAGTATTTAAATTAAAGGGCAAAGTGCAAACAATTTATTATTGATGAAGAACATACATTAATACATTATTGCATGAAATGTGGTAATTGAGTGCAAGGATCTTCTTACTCACACACAATGTATTTAGCAATAAGTTGTTTACACCTTCCATTGTCAAAAAGCTAAGATATCCACTGTTGCAGAGTGATTAAAGGCTAGTGGACTAGGGAAAACTGGCCAAAAATGTCCACTTGCCATTAAGCTCACTGGCTGGCCTTGGGCCAGTCGCCAGTGCTAAGCATATCTGGAAGACAGGAAGTTACCCTAAAGTGAATCCAACCATTGAACAAAGTAGCTTGGTAGAGTCCCCTACACTGGCAGCAGGTTTTTTAGGGCTCAAGGTAGGCTGCCTTTCCCACTTGTACCTGAAGAAGCCAATGAGGGAACTTGAAACTTTCTGTTGTAAATTCTGTGCTCTACCAGTGAGCTGCAGCCTGTCCCAGTGCAACCCACATCACAGGATTCCTGTGGGATAAACAAAAAACAAAACAAACAAACAAAAAAAACCCACTCCAAATGCTGCATGACTTCCTTGTGGGATGAGCTAAGCCATACATTTGAGTAAGAAACAACTACATTTTACTGCCTGCTTCTTTTTTTCATCTGTACCTTGGGTTTAATAGCTTTTTTGCTGTTCCATTCTGGAAACAATTTCTTGTTGCCACTTTTTTCTTTTTCGGAATGCTCTGATGATGCAGAAGTGAGAGAAGTCTCCTCTGGTTCACTTTTTTTCAAGGAGTTCATTATTCCTGAACAACAGAAAGAAGTAAGAGATACTGAACATCAGCGTATAAAAAGCAGGGTTTCATTCATTTTCCAGGCAAGGGTGTGCTTCTTTCTTCTTTCTATTAAGTACTTCTATAAAAGGTAGTTTCACTTTAAAATGCAATATTTGAAATGGTTACCTAGCAGATACAGGAAAGGCTTCTGTTTGTTAGAGGAGCAAACAAATAGAAAGAGGAGGGAAATTGTGTCAAGGGGAACTGAATCAAGCACACAGGAATAATCCGAACTACATAATTAAATACCTAAGAAAATATTTCCGAATCTCTGAATCAGCATTAGCTTCCACATATACACATTTTCTATAAACAGGCAGACAAGATACCAAATACATTCCATACAATGGACATGTATACACAGGCTCACAGCTCTAACTTCAGTCACCATGTAATGATCCATGAGCCTAGATCAGCGCTGAAGCAACATGGAGCTGTATTTTTAGGATACCAAGGATCCTAAAGATGGCACGGGGTTAACTGCACTATGCCACACTCTTGCCTTCATGTGACATCTTTCTTTCCTCTTCTAACTGTTCCTTTGGGTTTCTAATGTGTTAAGGAAAGTACAGATAGGTTAGATGGCACAGTATACAATTACGGTAAATACATTTTTAAAAATGAGAAAAAGGCAGCAGCCTGGTAGACCTGAATAAAAATATCTCATCATATATGGTCTCAGCTGTGTCATTTCTTCCTTTTTTGAATTAGTACGCTGTAAAACAAGAGTATAAGAAAATTCATAGTACTTTGTAGGGTTCTCTCTCTCTGTACATTCTAGAGAACAGATGGCAGAGAGAGATGGGTCACATGATAAAATCTGAGAGGAAGAAAGCTGACCTCCCAATCTGCTGTATACTACTTTTTAAAAATTGCTTCAAGACAATTTAATTAAGAAACAAATTTAAGAAGTCTGGTGCAGCGAATATTAGCATTAAGATCAGAACAATCTTACTGCAACCAACTTCTTATGAAGCAATTCAGTGCTTGCAGTTTCTATTCAATTTGTTATAATGACAGTGTTTAATCATGGAGTCTACTCTATAGCACACTGCTGAATTGAGGTCACACATGTGGCTATCCAAGCATGTAGCATATAATCTATAAGTAAGATTTCTCTTCTGAATCTCCCTTAGTTGTGCTATTAATTAACAATACACTTATTTTTTAAAAAAGTGAATTAAAAATATCTTTTCTTTAGCTTTAATTTGAAATGAGCAGGAGTTTCCAATGAAGCATACAATGTGTGTTTGCATTCCATTATAACCACTGCAAAACTTCATTGGGAATATTGCATAATCAACTAAATTCCAAGCTGTTTAATTAGAAGGCTTCTCATAAACTCTGAAGAATCTTTAATGCAGGCTATTTACTCCTCTGCCCAATTTAAATATTGACATATTAGCAAAACATTCTTGGGTACTCTTGCAGCTGACTTCAGACTATGGTCTAATTAATGAATGTAGATATGTGGGTGAAGGTTTTTTTGCCACACTATTACATAAGCTGAACACATTAAGACAGCTTTTATCCCTCTTCATGCCCTTTTATGCAGCACCAGGAAGCCAGATCAGAACTGCCAAAGAGACACAGCACCACTTTATTTCCAACTTGCCCACCTGATAAAAAAAGTAGGAAGGTTTGTTCTCATCCTTAAATGAAAGTGATGGGAAGTCTACGGAAACTGTCAATGAGCTTGTTCACAGGTGAGTCAGGTGACTTTAAGGGCCGTGCTGATAGGAGTAAGTTTGTAAGTTTCCTGGATTCAGATTTGTGATCTTTATGCTTGGCTTTGGACATGAAATTGTAAGCTTCAGTTTAACTACAAGCTTTTTATCATACAATACTCATACTGCATTGCATGGCAAGCCTGATTTTTTTTTAAAATCCCAATTTAACTTTAAATGCCTGGTTTACTAAAGATGCTAATTTCCTATTTTAGCATTTACTAAAGATATCCTCAAATAATGGCTTCAACCCTTCATTATCAGTTTGTACAGGTAATAGGCCTATACTAGCTTATGTCCAGTGCTTGGATTATAGCTAAAGCAATGTTAGCCTTATTTAATTCATTATTTCTAGTATTTACTATTCCTGCTTGACACGTAGGAAAATAAGAAACAACAATTCTGATTTGCCCAAAGCCATATGGCCAATTTATATACAAGCTGGAATTTTACACATGTTTATCATTGGTTTGCTGTTCCTATCCATCACTGCATGTGTTAGACAAAGGCTTCAGAACTGCTTTCAGCCTGAGGGAAAAGCTATCCAGGCTGAAAAACCAGTAGTGGATGGGGAAAATGGAAAACTGGGTTGGAAAGAAAGCAAAAGGGGACAGTCCAGAATACCAGGATAACTTAGTTTAAAGTTCTTACTGTCATTAATTAAACCTTCAGAGAAGCATTTTGACCTCTTAGTGTGGAGGAAATATACAAAATATACAAAAATCAAAATGCAATCAATCCACTGGTCATTGAAGGAAAGGATGTGGGGCCAGGCAAAGAAACATCTGGGCAATCCTGAATGACCAGGTGGGGATCTCACAAGGGCCAGATTTGGCTCTTGGACCTAAGGCTCTGTACTCCTGAATTGGAAGATAAATGCTGCTGAATACAAGTAATATGTGTATATGGGAAAAGTGGAAATTGCTGGCCATGTCTGTCTTCATCCTACCAAATTCAGGAAAACAGTTTAATTTCCTGTTATCAAAATTATTACTGTCACATTCTATTTTCTTGTTCTCCAATTTATCCTTATCCTTCCTTTACCAGATCAGATTAGTCTAACTGCCCTGCACCCACAGAAATCATAATGTGCACAGCTTCGTGTTTCAACCTTCAAAATAATGCTTCTGATAACTCTGGCTGGAGATGCCACGCAGAGTAAATATGTGAAGCACAAATGTGAGATGGAAGCCCTCTTGCCAGCACTATGGCAATACAGCTGTGTCGTAAGAGAATGACAAGGAGGCTGTGGTTCACATAAGCTACCATGGGCAGGGTACCCACAGACGCCCTTCTGTAACATGACCCTGAAGCAGCCCACGGACCTGGGAGGTGTGCTGACCATACCAACAACCAACCCTCATCAAGTCTGGCTAACAGAATTTCCTACAAGTGGGGGCTGAGATATGGAATGAGGATTCACACGCACACACAACAAGCCACTTGCGACTATTTTGCAAGTCATTTTTAGCCAGCGTAGCTGAAAATGTTTGCAGAAAATGCACCTACAGAATGATTTATTTAAGGAATTTAAAATAAAGCTGAATCACTCTTTTGCTGAAGCCGTCTCTACCCTGCAGTACAGTTTGGTTGGTTGCTGCCTCCAGAGCCGAGTGTGGGTGTACATTGCGGTAATTAGGAAGAGGAGAGGATGCAAAAGGTCTATTGTTTAACTGGAGGGCCAGTCACATGATGTAGATTATAGTCAAAAGTAGTTCCAGGATATGGCATTCTGGGATTGGCTTTCCATTAAAGTGAATTGTATTGCTGCTTCGTTAAAGAGCTAAGCAGATGAAGAAGTGGAAGGAAGGCACAGAGAATGGCCTGAAGACAGATAATGAAGTTTTCCCAAGCTTGAAACCTGAAATCTATTCAGAAGCTGGAATAGGAAGAGGAAGAGCAAGGCAAAAATCTAATGGGTTCCTTTTGTAGGGAAAGCGCAATACATTTCTCACATTCCTGTTCCTATTTCCATAGTTATGCCAATGACTTGTCTGATGCTCTTCATCACGCTCAGTCTGCTGTCCCAGGGAAAAGTAGGGGAAAGGTGTGGCTTTCCCTTAATTATTTAGCATGACCGCCAATCCAAATATAGCAAAAGTAGACAACATAATAACAAAGGCAGGTGCTGCTGTATTATAAGCATTCATTTCAAATTTACCTCTATTTTCAGCTCTGGAATGCATAAATAATTCACAAACTAATAGCTCACTACATTAGAATTTGTACTAAGTTCATGGACATATAAGAAAAAAGACTCATAAGAAAATGCAGAATCGGGGCCTTAATCTAACATTTTTGTGTAGAATTATTGATTTACATATTTTATATATAAGGTCACATGTTCTGTCACTGCATTTCATCATTTCATGCTACTTGTATAGTGATGCATTTATAATTGGTGTTCATATTTATTAAAAACACATTTATTGCTTGACTGTTTCAAGCTTTATGTTTATTTCCTTGTGTCAGCAATTGCTTCAAGTATAAATGTTGCTGACCAGGTAGGAACCACTATGTTAGCCCTAGCTGATGTCTGAAGAAAATTTTCCTCTTGCTACTTACATGTGCACATAGTTTTGCACTGTTCTTGCTATGCCATACATTGCTAAACTCAAGAAAATACAATTAAACATTTCCGTGTTTTATTAAGCAGAATCATATTCTAAATTACCCTAATGTTACCATATCACAACACTGAGACATCTCAATAACTGAACATGACATGCAGTTTACTTGTTTTAAAAAGTTAAGTGTGGCATACGTCTATCCAGTGCAATCCCAATATGATGAAATGGTGAAATGGCTGTTATGTCACATGAGTTTCAAGCTCAGGGTCACCTTGATCAACCTCAAAAGGGCAACCTATTCCATACAGCCCATTGATGGAGATCATTGATGGGTAGCAACTGTTATATCCTAAAGCATTCATTTTAACCTGATAGCATGAGCATATCACGTGATAGGAATAATCAGTGGAATCATTCTTTGTCCTTGCAGGAAAACTGTGTGGTCACAGAAATCCAGTGTTCATCCTTAGTCCAAATGGGCAATGATACAGTGGTACAAGTAAGACAACTCGTCAGTTATATAGTAATGTATCTAAAGAAGAGTTTGAAAGCAAATGTTCTGACATTTCTGGAACCTCTTTGGTTTGATTTTGGTTGCAAAGTAACCTGCCTTTGGCTTTGACATTTTCTGTAGTATGATATAGAGCGATCTTTATGAAACAACACGTTAATGTTTTTGTAACAAATTTCAGCTTCAGTGTAGTCCCTAGCTTGTTAACCTTCTACAGTAACTTAAAGAATCTTTTCAGATGTACATTTCCCATGTCTTTTATCTAATGTCATTAGTAAAGGCCTCTGCTGACAGAAACATATATTGGGGCATAAAGAAACTCATTTCCAGAATAACTGTAATTTTACCTGTAGAAGCTGGTTTTGGAAGGCGACTGTGGGAAAATCGTATACCTTTAGCAGTCATGGTAGGATCTGATGCTGAATGAGACATTACGCTCTCCACAGATCCTTGGTTGTTCTTAGCTGTTGAAGGCACTTCTCGCTCAAGGGTTTTGGCTTTCTCGGAAGGAGCATGAGGAAAAGTTTGCTCAGGCAATGTGGCAATTTCCATTTCTAAATCCAGTCCTTGTTTAGAAACATGTCTTCCAGTTGAGCGGTTTCCTGAGTCTGGGAGAGGGAAGGTTCCTATCCCACTGTCCAGTGTCCTCATTTGGCAGCAGGATTCTAAAACAGAAGAATACTGTATAATTTAGAGAATCTGACGAAGATTTTAAAACTCTACAAGATCATCCAGAATTGCTTTTGAAGGGACAGAAGGGCTGCAGTGCAGTGAGAGAATGTATATTGCACCAGATCGTTAGCATTTTTATTTGAAATGCAGGGAAATGTCTTGGAAAATTATTTTCCATGAGTTTTCCAAGTGCTGGTCCAAAGCAACATTCTTTAACTTGGTAATGTCTAGATGTTTGGAATGACTCCTGACAGTTGGGATGATTCCAGAACTCCTGAGAGTTGTTTCCACTAGTGTGGGCTAATGAGCATTGAAGCCCAGAGGAAACTAGGTTGGGGAGGACTGGTCCATATAGACCAGATGGTTTGAATTTGTATAAGGCAAGCTTGTATCCTCAAAAAATATTTTGTACTTAAGAAGTATTCTGATTAAGGTATTCTGCCCAACTGGTTTATTCATTATTATTCTTTTAAATAAGAAAAGCACACGAATGCTCAAGAAGAATTAACAAACACTACAAAATTAATCAGAGCATTTAAAAGCTTCATAGCTAATCTCCATCTGTGTAAATAAGCCAAATGCATTATAAAAGACCCAACTCATAATCTTCTCAAGCAAAGTGCTTAAGTGTGTGGTAGATTTCAGTTCAATCTGGAGTATTATTTTATACAAAGCCCAAAGACAAATATCATAGGCAAGATGGTGCCTTTTGTTGCAGTCTTCGCTCTTAGTTCCTGGGGGACTGTCATAATAGCATTTTGCTTTTATTGTGTAGACTCCACATACTGCCTTAGGGCCACTTCATCCATAACAGGGTGATATTAGGCCCATTATCTTTAGAGAAGATATTTCAGTTCAAAATGATTAGCTGTTGACAGTGATAATGTAAGTTATTTTTATGCATGCCAATAAGCTAAATAAGAAGGTATCAATCTTGGATATTTGGGAAATTGGAAGGAAACATACTAGTTATTGCAAGGCTCAAGCCTGAAGGTTCTAAATGATTTGAGAAGCACTAGCTGTTATCCCCTGGTTTAGGAGACACTGGGCTAAAGAGTTCCAAATAATCAAATCTTAGGGTAGAATATGAATATTGAGTTAAATAACTAGTCTATTTCAGGACCACATCTATCTAGCCAATCATCTATCCAGCTATCTAGGGCAAAAGAAAGACATACAGAACTGCAACAATAAATAAAAAAGAAGTTACAGGTAAACTTGTATTCTAGCTATTATTAATTTTAAATGGGATTTGCTTGGGTAGCACAAGTTACTAGATTCAAAAATAATATTAAGAAAACATGGAATCATTGGGTGGTGATATTTGCTTATACTTGGCAACCACAGCCATTCGGTATCACACATGTGTGCACCTAATGTGGCATCTATAACATCCCCATAAAAAAAGATAAAGGTTTCCCCATGACATTAAGTCCAGTCGTGTCTGACCCAAGGTGGCAGTGCTCACTTCTGTTTCAAGGAGCCAGAGTTGTCTGCAGACAATTTCTGTGGTCATGTGGCTGGCATGACTAAATGCCAAAGCACACAGAATGCTGCTACCTTCCTACCGAATTAGTACCTATTTATCAACTCACATTTGCATGTTTTTGAACTTCTAGGCTGGCAGGAGCTTGGGAAAAGCAACAGGAGCTATCCCCATAGTTTCAACCAAATCCATACATGCTCACTTCATGGCCTGATTGAAATGCATTGACTGGCATTGCAGATTGAAGTCAAGAAGGTGAGCTTCTGCTTCAGATTTTGTTTTGGCTTAATTTTACTTGTTTGTTTGTAACTAGGGCAGTTACATCTTAGACAAGTTATAATTGACTCTAAGACAGGGGTCTCAAACTCGCGGCCCAATTCCTGGGACGGGTGGGGCACGGGGGAGGGGCCCTGCGACCTTCAAAGTGCCAGTGGCACCCGGGCCGGCCTCCGGATGAGCAGCCCACCACCACCGCACTGGTGGAATACTTGATGCGGCCCAGCCTCACCCAGACTCTATTTCCAGTGGCCCCCAGGTAAGTTGAGTTTGAGACCCCTGTTCTATGACATAATACTCCAAGTTTTCCCTCTGAAATAACAGTTTTACTGCCCATAGCATCTCTCTCTGTCCCTCTCTCTCTCTCTCTCTCTCTCTCTCTCTCTCTCTCTCTCTCTCTCTCATACACACATTTTAATATGCAATACAAAAACAACCAAACCACATTGTAAGAAAACAAGCAAAAGGGAAAAAGAAAAAATGCAATATTGGAATAGTATTTAAGAAAAAAAAAGATCCATGGCATGGTTACATGTATATACCCCTATATTTTTATACACACACACACACACGCACGCACGCGCACGCACGCACACACCTATGTATTAGTACATAATAGAACATACTACCATTATCAAAATTATTTATTCATTTAAAACTTTTGTAGATCGTCCCATTACCGAAGTTGTTGGATGCTTTAACAGTACAAAATGTAAGAAAAGAAAAAGAAACAGAATCCTAAAATTTAGCAATAATAAAACCCCAATTAAAATGGTCGTCTTAAAACATTGGGAAAAGAATTATGCTTGGAGAAAGGCACCCCAGACCATTTGTAGTTTAAGCCTTAAGGGTTACCTTTAAAAGTAAAATGTTTCACTAAGTCCTCCATTAAATTGTGTTATCACAGGTGTCTGTTTATCCTTCCATTTTTGTAATATTAGTCTTTTAGCTGCCAAAGGGCACATAAAATCAATTTATGCTGACCTTGTGTTAAATTCCAAGAGATAAGTAGGTAATTCAAAAGAACATGTATATCCTTATATAGTAGAGAACTTTCCAACACAAGATTTATATGAATTATTATATCCTCCCAAAAGGAAGCTTCCATTGGGCATTGCCAAAGCATATGGAGAAGAGAAGTATTAGCAGTATTATACTTCCAACAGCTGGTCAATTTAATCAAACCTTTATCAAAAAGGTGCTGGGGCATCAATATACTTGAAACATGATTTTTTTTCTAAATTAAATGTAGGCTTAGATCCAAAATCCCTTGTGAAATAGATACTAATGAAGCAATCAATTGGTTGGACAGTATAATGTTTTCCAGTTCATTATTCCATTCTTGCCTGACACCTGGTATGTCATATGTATTCACTGATATTAAATATTTACAAACATAAACTGTAGGCCAATGCAGGTTTTATCCATGATCTATAGTTGCAAAAACAGCAGCTCTGATGTTGTGAAAGTAGCAAGATCCAACCTAGATTCTTAGAAAACTTTGAGTTGCACATATTGCCATGCAGCCAAGGCTGACAATTTACATTTAGCCTGCAAAGCAGAGAAGGGCAAAAAATTATCATCAGGTCTGTCAGAGGCACAGTATTTAGTTGTCTATGGAAAGAGTTCAGTGCACTCCACTTGGGAAGAGGATCCAAAAGTGAAGATTCCAAAACAACCAGGGAGAGGAATCTAATTTAATTAAAAAAAAAAAAAAACCAAAATATTGTACAAGACAACAAATAGGTTGACTAATGAAAGGTTAAGGAGGCCAAATACACCCTCTTTAATTGAAAGTTACATTTTATAAAGGTTACTTGTGGCAGAGGGGAGCCTCATAAAAATTATGAAATGAAAAATCAAGCTTTTGATAATGCTTGGCAGATATTAATAAATGGATACCACATAAAACATAAATTTAGCTTAATCATTTGTTAGATGTTGCTTAGAACAAGAACTTCCAGATTAGTACACTGAGCACAGAGCTGAAATCACAAATTAGGTAACAGGCATCTAAGTTAGATTGTAGCACCTAAGTATACCTGTGTGTGGTTTGGATTGGCAGTGTTAGTACTAATGGTTGCCTACAAACACCATTTTAAACTTTGTATCTACTTTTTTCAACAGTTGCATGGGTTTTTCACTGTTTAGTAAACCAATATTTGACATCTTCTCGTTACAAATAGGTGCCACATTGCTATTTTCTACAGTTCATGCAGTTTCAAAATTAGGTATTCTGAAAAAAGTGGATTGGATCCAATTGTGTCTTATACAAATGCATAGGCAGCTCCCATTGCATAAGAGAGACCCAACATAATTTTGTCAAATTTCCCCACTGGAAGTTCCTATGGTGTTTGTTTATTTATTTAGTTTATTCATCTGACTTATATCCCAGCTTTTCCTCTTTTAAAGAATTTAATGCAGCTTATGTCATTCTCTCCCCGCTGCTCTCAATCTTGTCCCCACAACAGGTTGTGTTAAGAGTAGGCTGGGCTGAGAGTCTGTGACTGGCTGACTTGGCTCCATGGCTGGCTGGCGACTAGAACCCATATTGCCTGAGTCTTAGTTCCACACTTTGAACCACTACACCACACTGGCTCTCAACACATCATTACAAAGGGCCTCTTGACCTTCAGGAGCCTTTTTTGGTAAGGCACAGGGAGCAGCCAAGAAAACCCTGTTCTGAGCAGGGTACTCTGGATCTAGCCCAATATTTCTAACTTTTTTTCATGGAAATCCAATGAAATGACTTGTTTTCTCTGAAAGCACTGATCAAGGAAAAGATTTTGGAGCAGTACTTCCAAATGTTTAGCAGAAAGAGGGAATGGTTGGCACAAAAGAATTGATGCTGCTTTAGAGTCACACTCTACAAACTATGGAATACATCCATGTGATGCACTGAGATAACAAAAAGAATTGCAAGCTTATATCATATCATCAACACACATTTTGGGAGAGTTATGATGGTGTGAGAAACAGTGGCTTCTGTGAATCATTAGGACAATCTGTTTGCTACAGACAGGGAGTCACATTCAGGGTTCAACTCTTCCTTCATAGTAGACTCTCTAAAAAAATGATGTATAGAAAAGGCAACACTGAAGAATAAGAGAAATGGGTTCCTAGGTATGTCCTGTCACTTGTCTCTGACAGTAACAAGCAACTTTTTAATGTTACCCTTGGTATTTTAGTTTGACAACAACAATCACTGTAACAAAAAAAGGTATTGTGTCC